TGGGAAGGACTAGTGTGTTGGGGCCAGCATGGTGTAGAGGTGAAAATGTCAGACTAGGACCTGGGAGAACCAGGCTGTAATCCCCACTCTGCCACGGAAGCTCACTGGGTGACCTTAGGCCAGTACCTCATAGGGTTGTTGTTGGATACAATGGAGGAGAGGAGAGGAGAATGATGTAAGCCACCTCGGGGGGGGGGCCTGTTGGGGAGATAGGGTTAGGGTATAAATGAAGTAAGTAAAAAAAAAATTAGGACTCTGTGGAAGTCCATTGGGCCTTCATATCAGTTGATCCTTGGGGAACTGGGAGATGCAATACCACCTTCTGGCCACACACACCAGTGGCGCCGGAGTACAAGAGAGTTCAGGTCAGCACCTCCCTTGACCACGAAGCTATCACCACACTGGCCCAGACTGTCAGCTTGCCTGGTCCAGCTGTTGGACTCCCTGGTTCAAAACCCCTGGATGCCACACACAAAGAGAAAGGCCTCTGCAGCTAAATGGAGAATGTGGTGCACCATTAAATATTTTGCGTATCGTAATAATGCGTATGTACAGAGCACAACAGTGAGCCAGATCCACATGTGCAGGTAATTTCAGAGGGCAACCGTGTTGGTCTGCAGTGAAACAGTTAGAATCGAGTCCAACAGCATCTTAGAGGCCAACAGGAGTTTCAGGGCAGAAGCTTAGTTAACAGAGCTGAAGCTCTGGGGTCTTGACTTGCTCTTGCTGAAATCACAAATAAAGTTGAGCTGATCACTAGACTCGAGCCTGCTCATCCATGGAACCCACTATTTAACACAGGTATTATGGAAGCCTGGTTGTCTCACCCGCTCCATTTCAGAGGGCCAGTGTCATGCAGTGGTTAAGAGCAGCAGCCTCTGCTCTGGAGAAATGGGATTGATTCCCCACTCCTCCTCCCCACGAAGCCTGCTGGGTGACCTTGGGCCAGTCACAGCACTCTCTCTCAGAGCTCTCTCAGCCCCAGCTGCCTGTCATCCGGAGAGGAAGGGGAAAGGCAATTATAAGCCTCTTTGAGACACTTTGAGACTCCTCAGGGTGGAAAGGGGAGGTATAAAAACCAACTCTTCTTCTTCCCACTTTCCATGGGAAGAAGCCAGTTTGGTGTCGTGGTTAAGTGCGTGGACTCTAATCTGGGAGAACCGGGTTTGATTCCCCACTCCTCCACTTGCAGCTGCTGGATGACCTTGGGCAAGCCGTAGTTCTGACAAGAGCTGTCCTTGAAAGAGCAGTTTGTGTCAGAGTTCTCTCAGCCCCACCCACCTCACAGGGTGTCTGTTGTAGGGAGGGGAAGGGAAAGGATTTGTAAGCCGCTCTGAGACTCCAAGTGAAGGGCGGGGTCTAAATCCAATCTCCTCCTCCTCCTCTTCTTCTTCTTCCTGCCACCATGAACGGAGGCTGGATTCCATCCTCCTCCCAGAGGGCAGCAGACAAAAGCAGAGACCCAGACGAAGGAGACAGCTGCCCCCATAGCAGCACTCCGCAGGGGAGGGAAAGATGAGATGTGCCTGCCGACTGGCATGACAGCACTGGGTTATTTGAGAAATGAAAGGACCGGGAAAGGTGAGCCTACCTGGGACATATGGGTCCTGATTGCCCAGCCCGATAAAGACCCCCGGGTCAAAGCTTCCCTGCTGGGAGGCTCTTCTGCCCAATACGACTCTGCCGATACAAGAGCTGGTCAGCTCAGGGAGCGCCCCGATCCAATCCCACTTGTTTCTGCCAGCATCTGGAATTCAGGCAAAAGCATCACAGTGACCAGTGAGAGGGCCTGTTTCTAAGGTAACTTCAGTTTCTAAGGTAACTTCTCACTGCCAAAGAGAAGTCGCTGTCGTTCTCTGGCAATCGGCTTCCTCCCTTGGAGGCTTTATCCAGGAGGGTTTGTTTTCTCCACTGCAGATCTCATTCTGGACCGCTACAACTCCTCCCCTTTTGGTTATAGCCACATTGGGGAATTAAGGTTAACACCCATGCTCTGGTTCTACCGGGTCGCAGGGAGGCTTTTGCAAGAGAGTGGGAAGACACCTCCACGCTTTTAACCATCTCCCCCCACACACCTGTTGCCTGCCTGGTTTCAGGTGGCCCCAGATGGTCTTTGTAATGCTATCGGTATAATAGCTAATTCCCCAAGTTCACTCTCTTTGTCAGTGTTGCTCGAGAACACAATGGAGGAACAGAAGCCAAGGCCCTGGCTGTGCTAAACACAGCGGGAGGGAGGGCGGGAGGCGATACGTTGGAGACCCATTTCCGGCACTTTGTTTTCAAGATGGGGAGGGCTCCCAAGTGGGGGAGCAGGGGTGGCCACAGCAGGAGATGGTGGGGCAGAAAGAGGGGTCCAGAGAGTAAAAGAGATGGGGGTTGGGGGTTGTACGGGCCGCCACCATTAACAGGACTGGCATTCAACTGTTCGGTGTGTGCGTGTTTGGCCAGGTTTCCAGTTGCATCCTAGTAAACCTATGTTCCAAGGCTCTGAATGCTGATCTTTTTTTTGCGGGGGGGGATAATAACAAGGGAGGATTTGGCCTCCTAGCTCTGCTTCTGGGCCTTTGTGAAACAGGATCCTGAACGAGAAGGACCATCAGTCTGACCCAAGGAGAGGTCATCTGAGGCTTATCTTGCTCAGAATCGTACAGGGCAGAGAAGCACGTCCCTTCAGCTGGTGTGTTTTCGTGGATACCTGCCAAGCCAGCTAGGGGGCTGATTTTTCTTCCAGGCTGCTGGAGAAGGGCCCCAAATTCCTCACATGCTTCAGAAGGGATGTGATGGAAATTAGGGTGGACATATGGGGTGGGGGTGAGGCTGGCTTTCATCAGGAGTCCTACAGACACGATGAGAAGGAGGAGAGGCTCAGAATATCTCACAGGCCGTCCTTCTTGCTCCTGCAAAAAAGAGGCCGGGAGATGAGGGCTTCCTCCAAGTGAATCTAGAGCTGTCTTTTGCTGCAGGAGGTTCTTGGTCCGTCCAGCCCAAGATTGCTGATAGGGGGTCTTCAGGTCCTCAGGAAAGAGAGGCCTTTCCAGCCCCTGCTCCCGGTGACCGGACCTCAGGCCTCCTCCCGGCCAGGCGGGTGCTGTGCCACTTAACGATGGCCCCCTTCTGTTGTGAAGCTTGCCTTCTGCTCTGCCTAGCCCTGTATCTTCATTGATAGCAGCTCACCAAAGCCTTGGGCAGGGATTCTTTCCTAACCAGTGTTCCCTCTACACTCACAGTTTTTTTAGCCTCTGGCTCACCCATTTCTGTCTCCACTTAGAAAAGATGGCTCCAGAGCAAACTAATTTATGCAGCAGCCAAATCGCTCACTCACAACTTTAATTCCAGTAGCTCACCAAGTATAATTTTTGCTCACAAGACTCCACAGCTTAGAGGGAGCATTGCTCCACACCCCTCGCCCAATAATAGTTGAATGTTGTCAAATCACAGCTGACTGATAGTGACCCGATGAAGTCCCACCTTACAGGGTTCTAAAGGCAAGAAGTGAGCAGAGGCTCTTTGCCATCGCCTCCCTCTGCATAGCAACCCCTGTCTTTCCTGCTGGCCACCCATCCAAGTCCTGAAGGTGGTTGACCCTGCTTAGCTTCCAAGCTTGGTTTTATATGTATGGTTGTATATGGTTTTATATGCAGGGGTCATTTTGGAGAAAAAGAGGTGCAGGAGCTCATTAGCATAACTCATTAGCATAACTCATTGGCATATGCCACCCCCCCTGACATCACCGGAAGTGTGTCAGAAGGCAACACCCACTGCTTAGGCTCCACTGGACTGTTTTGGATTGCTAGCTATTGGGGGGGGGGAACACGCAGATCTGTCCTCACAGAGGAGGGAGAGCTTGTACCTGAATAAAACTTGGTCTTAAACGTGCCACTGGACTGTTTTGGACCGGGGGGAGGGGGGCTCTGCAGCTTACCTGGCTGCTTCTTGCTCTGACTGAGGGCTGCTGGGAGCAGGGGGTGGGGCTTGTTGCACATGCCTGCCCCCTGGGCTCTTTACTGCCGGAGCTCCGCTCCTGTGTGCTCCTGCAGGAAATGGCCCCTGTTTATATGTATCTTTTCTTATAGTAATCCTCTTTTTAAGGTATTGTTTTATGCCAATAAAGGCTGACGGACTGACTGACTGACAAGCTTGGGCTAGTCAGGGCTATTTAGGCTGCTGGGCCTCCTGCCGGAGACTGTTTTCACCGGTGACGCCAGGGATTGAACTTGGGACCTTCTGCACGCAAGGCAGTTGCTCTGTCCCCACCCAGGTCTGCTGGGAGGGAAGGCCAGGGGGATGAAATTTGGATGGCTCTGGTCGAGCTGGGTGCCCCAGGGAACTCCCCAAAGTGTTGCTAGTAGGGGGCGATTTGACTGAGGGGCTGGTTGCTTTCAGTTTAACTTGCCTCAGCAGTTGTTACGGGTCCAATGGGGGAAACACGCTACCCTGCACTCCTTGGAGGAAGGGTGGGATAAAAATATGAGGAAAGAGGTGGGGGGGGGCTGTGTGAATCACTGCTTCGAACAGCAAGGGCTGTTGGGTTTTTTTAATGCTGTTTAGGTTAGATACGGCTGATATGAAGGGCAGGCAGAGCAACTCTTTGTCATGGGGGCCATGGGGGGGCCATGGCGATTCTGGTAACTGTAAACCCTTTCTCTCCCATCTGAGGTCGCTGAGATGAGGAGCAGAGCCCTTTCGGTGGTGGGCCCCTCTCCATGGAATCCCCTTCCTCTAGTCATCACCCTTTGGAGCCGAAATGCTCCAGTAGGCTCCCTTGTGTCCTTAGAGAACAGGCGAATTAATCAGGGCAGACATTCTGCCCCCTCAGGTCAGCCATTGCTTCTCTTCTCATCCAAGACAGCTTCTGTGGAACTGACCCTTGCCCAGGCACACAGATGGAAAGTCACTGTCCACAGCGTGCGCCCCTCAATCCCACAGAAGCCACTGAGGCACTGACTAGATTCTGGTCTCTCCTTCCTTTACTCCTTCCCTCCCTCCCTCCCTCCCTGTAGGTTTCTGGTGCAGCCCAGAGTGTGCCTATATCCGCCACTGCATTGCCCGGTCCCAGGACCTCGTGGACGGAAAGGTTCGGGTCTCCGTCTTCAAGGGTCAAGTCTATGTTTTGAGCAGGGAGTCCCACCGGTCTCTGTACAATGAGGAACTTGTAAGGTAAGCATCAGCCTTCGTACTCTGCAAAGATTTAAGGTTATCAAACGCTTTTTAATACAGCCTCTTCCATATGCACGGGCAGGGTCAGCTGTCCAGCCAAAGCACCCAAGCAACTGCTTGGAGGCAGCCCAATCAGGAGGGTGCCGACATCTCAGCGGGACTCTGGGCTCCCTCCCAGCCCTCAGCAGCACAGGCAGAAACCGGCATCACCTCGCCTGGCTTGACCGTGGGAGAGAAGATACAGCTAGGGCTCCCCTGGCCTGGGCAGACACTCTGACCACTGTACTGCATGGAGAAGTCTATCAGTGGCTAAGTCTATTGGTGGCTACTAGCCATAGTGGCTGAGGAGAACCTCCACATTCAGAGGCACTAAGCCTCTGAATCCCAGAGCCAGGAGGCAACCTCAGGGGAAGGCCTCGGCCTCTCTGCCCTGTTGCTGGCCCTCCAGAGGAACTGGCTGAGGCCCCTGGGTAAGACGGGAGGCTGGGCCAGGTGGACCATTGGTCCTATCCAGCAGGGCTCTTCTGATGTTCTCATGGCAGGCAGTGGGGTACAAATGAACTCTGTGTGAGAGACAGCTGTTTGCAATCATCCTGCTGGGTCAGAACGTTTAGTTGAGTGTAGGATTCACATGTTGTTGGATATGGTGCTGCTGGGAATCATTTACCTCCTGGATAAAACCCAGGAGTTCAGTTGTTGCAATAGCACAATATCCAGTGATCTCTGGACCCAGCCAAGTGTTCTGTTTTCAGCCCTGCCTGGCCAAATTTATTTATTTATTTTCCACATTTATATCCCACCCATCCTGTAAACAGGCTCAGGGTGGGTTTAATAAATACAATAAAATTTAAAACACATTAAAACATATAAAACTGGTAGTCATGCTTGCCATAGGGAGAATCCGGCCCAGTGATGTAGCTAAGTATGGCCGGTTATCAGTGCGTGGGAGACCGCAACCTTGGGGGGGGCATGTGTGGGCGCCTGCTGCCTCAGCCAAAGGCCTGGCAGAAGAGCTCCGTCTTGCAGGCCCTGTGGAATTGAATAAGATCCCGCAGGGCCCTGATCTCAATAGAGAGCATGCTCTACCAGGTGGGGGCCAGGGCGGAAAAAGCCCTGGCTGTCATGCCTGCCCTCGACGCAGCACCTGGGAGCTCTGAAACTGAGGACTCTGTGCCTTTAACACCATCGGAGGCACGGGAGTCTTTGTCAAACCTAAGTACTGGAAAGGATGAGCCCCAGCCTCCAGAACAGCTTGCACCTTAAGCCGATCAGGCAGTGCCTGGCCCCAGTTCTCTGCCACCTGTCGACCGGCTGAGGGATCGGAGACGCCGGGACTTGGCAACCAGACGCAAAGAGGCACACTTGCCCGGTTGGAGATCAATCAGCCCAGAGTTCTAGCGGGATCAAGGACTTAGTGAGGCAGTGCTAATGAGGCACTAATGAGTTAACAACCCAGCAAGCTATTTGCATAAGTTGCTGACTGCTGGCTAATCGTGCTGGCAAACTCGTCCTTCGGACCAGAAACTCTGCACCTCTGACTCTGTTCCTGGTATCTGGCTACTGACTGACTTCATGGCTCCTGACTCCAGTCCGCGTTTTGGTGACCCCCTGACTCTTGTCCTCGGCTCTGCACCCTGACTTCGACGCTTGCCCATCTGGACTCTGACTCTTGGTAACGCTCTGACTACGGCCTGGCTTTATGTATTGGGACTTTTGCTCTGGTTGTTTTGCTTTCTCTCGCTGGCTTGACTCTCGGACTGGACTGTGAACTCCCCCTCTCTGCCTTGCCCCACTGGCCCTGTTGTGACACTGGCCCTGTTGTGACACTGGCCCTGGTCGAGGCTAGGCGGACATCTTTTGGGCCAGGGATCGCAAGGAGATGTTGACTCTCAGAGCGTAACTCTCTCCGAGGCATATATGGTCTCTTGGAAGTTCAGAAGCAGGGCAGGAAGGCGATAGTCCTCCTGCGTCTCCCTAGCAGGTGGGACTGGAAATTCTACTGGCTCTGAGCATGGAGGCTCCATTTGGTCGCCATGCATAATCCCCATCGGACCCCACAGAGGAGCTCAATTCTTTTGCTCAATTCTTTTTCTCAATTAAAAACTGTTTGCCCATCTAGGGACAACTGTGGCACCATTTCCTATTTCTGTGGTGGGACAGGAAAGAGAGCAAAGATCCCAAGGCCCACTTTTGGAAACATTCGTGGTCAAATTGCATTTTTTTTAAAAGCTGAATTTACAGAGGGTTTTGTTGGAATTAGTTTCTAATTATATGTCATGATCCCCCCCAATCAATAATAATTTGTATTAACAGATTTTCAAATAACAATAGATAATTCATGAAATATAACAGGAAGGAAGTGGGGGCAAAGTGATCAAACAAGAATTACAATTACTAGTACAGAAATAACGTCATTGAGAGAGAGCAGCAACCACGAACATCATACACATATCAAAAGCAAGCATATTCCAAAGAGTTAATCACTATAAGACCATGCTGAATATTAACATAACCTCTACAAGTGTAAAAGAGAGTCATTTCCTTCAGTTAATTTGTTAAGGACCAACCATTTTCTGCTAACAGACCTGAAGTTTGGCTGTAAACCCCTATCAAATTAGAAATATGGTATCATGGTAGAATCATTTTTGGAGGAGAATGTAATGAATTGTTAGATATTCTACTATTGGGAACCATAACTCTCTGTTTTTTTCATGAAAACGTTCTGACAGAGCATTGACATCATATGTGGAGATTTTGCCCAGTAGGAAGTAATCCTACAACCGGGTCCTCCGTGCATGCAACAAAGGCAGAGCCTTGTCTTTCCAGTGCACAGCAATTTCTAATCTCGCTACAGATAGCAAAACAGTAATCCTTTCGGCTGACACTTTATTCATTGAGGCACCTGGCCACCAGCTCAAAAGCACAGTTTCCAGGGAAAAGGGAAGAGATCCCCCAATTGTACTTCATAATAGTGAGGTCACAGAAAAATTCCTCTCCCCTTTGGGGGAGCAGATTGATTTGTGTTTTTGCAATGGATCTCTAATACAAAAGGACATTCAGTCATTTATAATGAAAACCACTTTGAGCAGCATTAAAAAAATACAGCTCACAGTGTATCCCTCAGCAGTGAAGCAAACCCTGCTTTTGGTTGCCTTCACAACTTGAGTGACAGATACACATACCCCAGAGTCAAATACCAGTTCACCTGTGCATCTTCCCCCATCTTTAAGATGGCCTGCCCAATTCTAAAGAAATGTTTTAATGCTGCTCCAGGAACTGTTGTGGAGGCAACTGTTGCTAGCCAATCAGTGCCAGGTTCAGCAACTTTTGCTGATGACATGCAGTCCTGTTCAGTCACAGCTTGAGTCTGGAGAGAACAGTTACAGTTGGGATAAATGCAATGAGGTCACTCCCAGAGCAGCCCAGAAGGTGGAGGGTTAAACAATCCCCCCTTCAAATACCAGCCTTCTCTTTTAAATCAAAGGCACAGCAGCTCCACTGCACATAATAGAAACAATTTAAGAATCCACGATTCCTTTCTCCTCTTCTGGAAGATACAGGTGCAAGATTCTCTGATAGACATATTAACTGGATAAACTTATGTGGTTTTCCTGTCCACTTTACTGTCAGGTAGGGATGGAAGTTCATTTTAAACCAGCCCTGAGTGGATTTGAAATATCAAGCTTACTTATGGGCTCACACGAAGCTGCCTTATCCCGAGTCAGACCATTAGTTAGTCGAGGTCATTATTGTCTACTCAGACTGGCAGCTGCTCTCCAGCATCTCAGGTCAAGATCTTTCACATCACCTACTACCAGATTCTTTAATTGGAGATGTCGGGGATTGAACCTGGGACCTTCGGCATGCCAAGGAGAGGCTCTTCCACTGAGCCACAGCCCCTCCTTTCTCCAGCAGTCACATTCACACGGACCGATTCCACACAAGAGCTGCGCCACAGTCGCGCCTCCCTTTGCCCCGCTTCTATTGGTCAATTTCCCACTCGAAGCCACGCAGTCACGTTTTGACACACGGCTTTGCCCAATTTTCCCCGCGGTTTCATGATCCTGTTTTTTGAGGATCAAAAAGACGCGGGGGAAACCGGGCGAAGCCACGGGTCAAAACGCAGCTATGCAGCTTCGAGTGGGAAATTGACCAATAGAAGCAGGGCAAAGGGAGATGTGACCACAGTGCAGCTCTTGTGTGAAATCGGTCACAGTCTGATGGAAATGCTGCTGTTAAAATTTATGCCTCCTTTTGTGTCAGTGGCATGAACCAGTAGCATAAAAGAAACAAACGGAAAGGGGAAATTTGCCATAAAAATTAGATGGTATGCAATTAGCCTTCCTTGACCGTGTATGAAATGAAAATAAATGGGGGAAAGAGACGTATCTGTACATCTCCACTGTCAAAGAATTGTGGGAGCCATGCTTTGGGTGTGACAGTTCTCTCGAAGGACACTGTCCTGACTGAGAGGGGCTAGGAAATCTCTGTCGCCACCAGCTGAAGTGAATACCTAATTAACTCCCTGGATGGACCAGGCTGGCCTGATCTCATCAGACCTTGGAGGCTAAGCAAAGTTGGCCCTGGTTCGTCTTTGGGTGGGGGGACCGCCAAGGAAGTCCAGGGTTGCTACTCAGAAGCAGGCGATGGCAGACCACCTCCCTGTGTCTCTTGCCTTGGAAACTCTGTGGGGTCACCTTAAGCTGGCTGCGAGTTGAAGGCAATTCCCACTCCCACAAAACTCCTTGGGCAAAGGGACCTGTCTCTGTGGAGTGACACACACTTGGGCAGCTCAAGATGTTTTGTTGGCTCAGGCAAGGTACCCTCATCAGCTCTTGGGCTCACCTTGCTAGCCACTTAATTTTCAGATTTATGGGAGCCTGATGTAGACCAAGACCATCAGGAGTGGGGGTTGTTCGAGCACATTTTTCTTGTTTGTGTGCCTGTTTTTCAGAAAGCAACATCTTTCGTTCAGATCAGACAAGCTCCACAAACAGATC